GAGAAAGTGAGCTGGGTTGAAGCAGCAGCAGTAATTAAAGACGGTCTCAGGGCTTACACTGCTCTCCACACTCTGGCTCGGATGGCTGCGGGTCAGACTGTACTGGTGCTGGATGGGGCTGGTGTAGGTATCTGTGCAGAGGTCAAAATGGCAACACTTTTGTGATGCGTCCTATTAGCATATACCCTACTGTTCAGGTTTGGGGTCGGCAAGATTTTTTAAATGTATTATTATTTTGTATTTATTTATTTTTTAAATAAATGTTTTAGTTGCTCACCGAGGTTGCATTTATTTTTCTTTTTAGAAAATATTACAGAAACTATTACAGAAATTTACAGTAAAAACAGTAATATTGTGAAATATTATTACAACTGTTTTGGATTTTAATATAAATATAAAATGTAATTTATTCCTGTGATGCAAAGCTGAATTGTTAGCATCATTACCTCAGTCTTCAGTGTCACATGATCCTTCAGAAATCATTCTGATATACTGATTTGCTGCTCAAGAAACATTTCTGATTATCAATGTTGAAAACAGTTGTGCTGCTTCATATTTATGTGGAAACTGTGATATGTTTTTTTTTCTCAGGTTTTTTAACAAATGAAAGAAAGTTGAAAATAGAAGAAAATCTTTATTGTCACTTATGATCAATTTAATGTATCCCTGCTGAATGAAAGTATTAATAGCTTTCAAAAATAAAATCTTAGTGACCCCAAACTTTTGAATGATAACGTATATATGTTAAAACTGGCCAATTTTGTCATTCTGTTATTTTGAAAGTGGATATTTGTTATTATTTAGTTGTCTTCTCATATTAGAATCAACACAGCACTTCTACAAGCATTATTTGGCTCCCTGCATTCGAAATCTCAAATCATTATCATGCACTTCCTGTTTTGTGTGCATGCAGCCCTTTGGAGTTCTGGCCATTCAGCTCGCCCACTATCACGGTGTGAAAGTCCTGGCTACAGCATCGTCTGAAGTTTTTGGAAGAGCTCCGGCCGAGTTTGGGTGGGTACTGAAATGAAGCATTGTGGAGAGAGAGGACTGACAGCAAAGATATTTTCCACATGAAGTGTCAGTTTAGAAAGTTCAAGCTTGGTTTGACTTGGCGCTTTCACTGGAAGTGTAGATTTATGAAACACTCGGCATGAGTTGCCAGACAAACTGAAATGGCAATTCAAATGGACCAAATCTCTTTTAAACTTCAGTTGTTAGCTCTTCAAGTTTACCTCTCATATTTACGGTACTTGATGTGGATTTCCTGAGCATATGAAAAGCATAACACTCGTATCATTTTATGTACTGTGAAGTACATAAAACTAAATCAAATGTAGAAATACTTAAGTCTGGATTGTGGCCGAGATTGTTGCCAGTTTCTAACCCATCCTTTCTTCTGGAAATCAAAACTGATTTCATTTGTCCTAGATATTTGTCTTTCCTTTTCTCTTCTCCCTTAAGCATCTTTTTGTCTTTCTTTGCCATTTGACTTTCTTCTTCATCATCTTTCTTCCTTGTGCCACTTGCACTTGCTCAAGGTGTGCAGGAATCACTTTTGGGTGAGTTATATATGGCAGGAATGTCTTCTATAAGTATTCGTTCATCATATTCTCATAAGCCTCAAATCAAATCTATTCTTTGAGAATAGTCATTCGGCATACATCAGCTTGAAATGCTTAATCAATGTTAATTTGATTTTTTGTAAGCATCGGTACTTAAGTGCATCTCTTCCCTCAGCTCGAGTGATCAGAGTATGGGACTCAAAGCAGGATTTGGTGGACTCGTGCCTTGAAGAAACTGGAGGTCTTGGAGTGGACATCATCATTGATTCAGGAGGTTTACCACCACTTTACAAAACATTTGTAACTATTTCAACATAGTCTTCTCATATATGCTTTTAATTAATTACATTAATATTTACCTTCTGTCCAACAAGCAGTTGTGCTGCAAGATTTAATTTATTATATAAATGCTGGTAATACATATTCTGTTCAAAACGTTTGGGGTTGGTAAGATTTTTAATGTTTTTGAACTAAGTCTCTTATGTTCGCCAATGCTGCATTTATTTGATAAAACTAGAGTAAAAACAGTAATAATGTGAAATATTATTTTAATTTTTATTTCTATTTTAATATGTAATTCATTCCTGTGATGACAAAGCTGAATTTTCAGCAGCCATTACTCCAATCTTATGCTTTTAATTAATTACATTAATATTTACCTTCTGTCCAACAAGCAGTTGTGCTGCAAGATTTAATTTATTATATAAATGCTGGTAATACATATTCTGTTCAAAACGTTTGGGGTTGGTAAGATTTGTAATGTTTTTGAATTAAGTCTCTTATGTTCGCCAATGCTGCATTTATTTGATAAAACTACAGTAAAAACAGTAATAATGTGAAATATTATTTTAATTGTTATTTCTATTTTAATATGTAATTCATTCCTGTGATGACAAAGCTGAATTTTCAGCAGCCATTACTCCAATCTTCAGTGTCACATGATCCTTCAGAAATTATTTGAATATGCTGGTTTGGTGCTGAAGAAACATTTCTTCTTATTATTTTGTTAAAAACAGTTGTGCTGATTAATATTTTTGTGGAAACCGTGATAGATTTTTTTTCAGGATTCTTTGATGAATAGAAAGATCCAAAGTGCAGCACTTATTTGAATTTTTTTTTTGTAACAATGTAAAAGTCTTATACTCTCATAAAACTAAAGACCTTGCTGAATAAATCTATTATTCTTATTTCAAAAAATTTGCACGAACGGAAGTGTACATGTTCAGTTTCAATCAGCAGTCTATGATTTTGAGCCTTTTTTTGAACAGTGAGACTCTATGAGGAGGAGCCAGAAGCACAGAGGCATTGCCCACATAAACATGACCTCCTTACCCTTCTTTCAGTTGGAGGTCACTGGGTCACCACAGAACAACACTTACAGGTTAGCAGCTCCTTCAAAACACATATAATATACTTAAGCAATCAGCATTATATGTGTCTTCATTTTATACATCAAATATTGACTAGCAGCATTGATTTTTACACTTTTACATTATACATTTAATACAATCAATTTTATCCTCTTTTCAAAGCTGGACCCTCCTGACAGCCACATTCTCTTCCTGAAGACAGCATCGCTCTCGTTCCTTAACGACGAGGTGTGGAAAACATCCCGGGCCAAGCTGGGCCGATATCTTCGTATCTTTTACTACAAACTTCATTAATCTTTAACTGCCTTCTGATTGGTCAGCATTCAAGCCTCGGCTTTGTTTATTGGCCTTAAAATATTAATTACTCAAAAGTTTCCAGCTCAATCTAGTTTCGTTTTCATTTATGTATTTGGCAGATGCTTTTATCTAAAGTGTCTTATAGATATGTTTTCTTTCGTATATTACTTGCCAATGAAGGCAAGTCTTAATATAACCCCATGAAAACGGCTCTGATGAGCTGATCCTTATTCTTTACACAAAACACAGCTTTACTCTCCAGTGGAATGAAGAAGGGAGATCTGACTAGATGGTATCAGAGCCATTTTTCTGAAATCGCTATATGTTGCAAAGAGGTCATTGGGTTCCGGAGTGTGCATATGGCTAGTCCATGACAGTTTGATGTATTTGAGACCGGAGGGTTTTCTCCCAGTGTCCTTAGGCTACTGGAACGACCTTGTCAACAACATAAAGGACACGTGGTTTCCTGTTTGTAACTGGGTTATTCGCCTTTAGTCTGCTCTCTCTCAGATATCCTGAAAGATGTGATGGATAAACTCTGCACAGGGACCTTCAGGTGAGAATGAGGAATAAACAAGTGTGTGAAAAGAGAAACAGATTGTGTGTCTGTACAGGAGAAATTACACAAATTATGAACTTAAAACTGAATGTATGTGGGCCGTGTTTGTAATGCAGAGAAAAAGTGTGAAATCAGCTTTGTTGTGTGAATTTGACCGTTGTCTCCATGCAGGCCGCAATTGGTGGACCCTGTGCCTTTATATGAAGCTACGGTCTCCATGGAGATGGTACAGAGAAAGCAAGCGAGGAAAAGAATAGCTGTCAAGCTTTGAAGAGGGCTCAAAATATTTTTGCCATAATTCTGTAAATTTTAGTTGTTATAAATCTCATGTTTTTGTCAATTGCACTTTCAATGGATTGCTGGTATTTAAAAACATTAAAATTATTTAACTGGAAATCAGGCTCATTCCAAAAAGCATGTATCACAAAGCAAAAACTATTTACATTATACAAAAAAGTGTGTGTATATATAAACTTTTGAAATTATTTACATAAAAACATTTTTCTTAGAAACTTTGGCCTAGTTATGACATACTGTATATGGGATTTTCCCTTGTCAAGCATTCCCAATGGATTATTAACAGCACCATCTGGTCCCATTTCTTTTGCCTATTAATATGGGCAGCTCTGTATGGAAAAGGACTGGATAATGCTGACCTAGAATTCGGCATCATTGTTCAGAGGTATGCATTTGATTATCAGTAGTCTCCTACCAGAAACACAGCATGTAGCTCATTTGCTTTCAATAGAAGATTTGTGTTTAAGATCTCATTGTCCTAAATGTCCCCATCTTCCTGTCCACCATTCTTAAACTGTCAGCTTTCTAGGAGAAAAACAAATTGTTGAAGCTCAGAAATCCCACACTGTGGGGCATATAAGGATATCTAAAGATTGTTCACCTAAAAATGACAATTCTGTCATCATTTACTCACCCTCATGTCGTTCCAAACCTGTATGATATTATTTCAGGGAACACAAAAATTGAGAGGGGATACGGGTAAGGTTAGGGGCAGGTTTGGTGCTACGTGTGTCCCTGCAAGTTTTTCCATCTAATATTTATTTATTTATGCTTTATTTCAAATAAATGAAAATAATTTTTAACAGTTTTAGTTAACAATAACAACACTGATAGAAAAGAGCAGCATGAACATTCTTCAAAATGTCTTTTGTGTTCCACAGAAGAAACAGTCATGCATGTTTGGAACAACATGAGGGTGATTAAATGACAGAATTTTCGGATTTGGGTGAACTATTCTTTTAAGTAATTTGGACTCCCTGTAGTTTTTAAGGTGGTTGTGTTAAGGGCTGTAGTACAAAGCTCAAGCATATCTGCTGGCTCTGGGCTTGTGTCTAAATCTTGGCAGTGACAGCATGAGGCTTCTGGTTCCTCAGTGTTCTGAATGCCCTACTGTTACCACAGTGACTATTGTCCCCAGAGGTTTTGAAGAACCACTCGTGTGTGTTCCAGAATCCTTTGCTCCTCTTGTCTCAGGCTCTCCACCTCACACAGTTGTTCAAGGAGAGACAGGTTCGCACCCTGTTTGAGCTGTGATAGCTGTACAAATGAAAAGACTCAGACTGTAAGTGGTTTCATATCTTTAATTAGACACAGGCAGCATTAAGAATGAACAGATTTAATTAGACTCACCCTCTCTAGTGCTTTGACATTGTCATCGGTGAGGTTATTGCAAAGCTTTAGGGCATTGTGAATGCACCACTCCTCCCTATCCCGGCTCACTACTGCCCCCAAGAGGACACTCTTCCAACAAGTACTACAGACAACAGCATTAAAATCAGTTTTTAATATATTCAAATAAATAGCATAAAATAAACTATATGCAAGTAAAAGCAGTAACAATGACATGTATTTTGCATTAACACGCATGCAAATAATGTGTTTAGGATGTTAACTTCTCACTATTGCTCAGGTTTCAAGGACAGCAGTCTCAGTGCAGTCATCAGTCGCCAGGAAGGGCCATTCATCCCAAACGTCAAGTTCCTGTTGAAGAGTGAAACCATATGAAACTTGATTTGCTGTACTAAACCATTACTGCATTGTAAAAACTGGCCATGAAGTTGCTGGCACAACGTACTACAGAATTTATAAGAACTGCTAAATGTCCCTGTGATCATGAATTTAACTTACCTTAAAAAATCATTGTCCCTTAGGTAGAGTAGTTTTTGTGTTAGCTGTTTGTCTTGTTCATCTAGACACAATTTTAGAGTTCCTACAATAACAACAAACAGCGATCAAAGCAGTTCCATAGTATTTAATATTTACATGTAGAATATTTAATATTTGTATGTATTTTCCTTACCTAAGTCAACATATACTACACTGTGGGGGTTGTCAGGGGCAACAAAGCCATATTCCAGAAGTAGTCTGTGATTATCATGAGGGCCATAATTGATGAACGCTTGCTGAAACCTCTTACAGCCTTGGACACTTTTAACCTCGTAACAGCAAGTTTCTTTGTTGAAGCCAGCTTCAACCTGCACACCAAGAAAAGTTTATTTTCTTTACTTATTACTGTGCGACTTTATTATTTTGTAAGAAAGTACACTACTGCTTAAAAGTCTAGGGTCAGTGTTTTTTGTTTTTTTTTAAAGAAAATAATACTTTTACTCAACAGAGTTGCATTAAATTGATCAAAAGTGACAGTAAAGACATTTATAATGTTAAATATTTCTATCTATTCAAAAATGTATATTTCAAATAAATGATGTTCTTTTAAATGTTATATTGAAAGAATCCTGAAATGTATCATGATTTACACAAAAATATTACACATTAAAACTGTTTTTAACATTGATCAGCATATTAGCACCAAATCAGCATATCAGAATGATTTCTGAAGCATCATGTGACGCTGAAGACTGGAGTAATGATGCTGAAAATTCAGCTTTGATCACAGGAATAAATTACATTTTGAATTACATTCAAATAGATAATGGTTATTCTAAATTGTAATAATATTTCACAGTATGACTGTTTTTACTGTAATTTGATCAAATAAATGCAGCCTTGGTGAGCATAAGAGACTCCTTTCAAAAACAAGAAATCTTACAGACCTCAAACAGTAGTGTATTTCTGTTAGGTGCTCTTACTTGGACATTAGGACAGTGGTTCAGCAGGTCAAGGTATGGTGCAAGCGCATACACATCCTTCTCCCTGGAGAGATAGTCACTCTGATCATGCTCCATGTACACTGTACGCGTGTTAATGCTGCACCAAGCCCACCGCAGTGCATCCTGGGTAAACAGCTCCTCTGTGGGCTGGGTGAAGAGTGGCTGGAGGGAGTGGAAAAACATCAGGAAAGAGCAGTAGAGTTCCTGAAACTGTTCTTTCTGCTCTGTGGCTTTCTTCTGGAGGCTCCTAGGCAAAAGGTCAACGATGTCATCAGAGAAGTACACAGGGCATGTGTAGGTCTTTGGGAGGATATTAATGTAAGAACTCCACTCTGATGCATCTCCACCATATCTCTCAGAAATGAGGAAACAACAAAGAGCCAGAAGAGGAGATATGGGAGGATGCCATCTACAGGAAGAAAGAGAGAAACCAAACTGACTTTATTCAGACCTCATGGTCCATTTCAAACATTTATTAGCACAAAAGTCTATATATATATATATATATATATATATAGGCCCAAATACCTTTTTATATAGTCACCCATGTAACTCTTCAGAACTGTCCTGGTGGTCAGTAAGCATTTCTCAGGCAAGGAAATAACACTGTCTTTGGCCTGCAAAGGTAACAGATCAGTATATTTTTATATTATCAATGTGGTTTCAGATTTTTGAACCCAAGTAGCCTACATATATATGTATATGCATGCATACACACACAAATATATACAAATAATTACCTTGATAGTTTGAGTTGCCATAAGCCCCCTTCCAGTATCTAAGGGGATCAAACATAGTTAGTAACATAACTAAGTGTGGAAATTTAATATACAAGCAATCTACCTTGGATGCTATCTACTTGCCATGGAAGTTGACAGGGATGAGAGACTGTGAGGCGAATCCTTTTTCTTTCAGCCATCTCCTCAAAAGAACAAACTGAGCTTCGTGAGTCAGAGTCACTACAGGAGCAAAATACAAACAAAATTCAGATACCACACACTATACTACAAAGTTACAATATCTCAGCATGGAAACTGAATACCTTCGGAGACACCCTCGTGTTTTTTGCGTCTTTTTTCCCGAGCTCTTCTCCCAGCACGGCAGCCAGGTTTATTCATCTTAAAGTGTCCATATAACAGCGCTACCTAAAGCTCACTTCGGGTGTAATGTCATTCTGTACAGCAGGTAGAAATGATACACATCCACATGGTCAAAAACACAGCCGGGTCACGTGCTTCAATCGTCGTTGCGTCATTGTCTTCGAATCAATCGCAGTACTTATAGAAAATTATATAAACATATTTACGTAAAAAAAAAAAAAAAGATTTACAGCTCATAACTGTTGCTGTGTCAGCAAGCAAAACACGACGCACATGACAGACAATGCAAGCGTATTTCTCCGCGCATGCGCAGTAAGTAGCGACGCAAACCAAAAACAAACGTGAATTGATCACCGCGGAGTACGTTAGAGCAGGTACGAGTTTTCTTTGAATCATGCATACGCTTCCCAAAAGCTTTTAATTTCGTTATTTGATTAATTAGGCTGCTGTATCCGTTGTGTCACAGAATATGGTCTTATTTTCAGACACATTGCAGCAGCAAAGTAACTCTGGTCACTGGTGCAAATAAAGGCATTTGGTTTGCAGTAGTGCGGTCACTGTGCAAAGAGTACTCCGGGGACGTGTACCTGACAGCCCGGGATGTCGGTCGAGGAACCGCAGCAGTGGAAAGTCTGAAGAAAGAGGGGCTGACAGCGCTCTTCCATCAGCTGGACATCACCGACCCTAGCAGCGTCCGCACCGCACGGGACTTCTTCACGGAGAAGTACGACGGCCTGGACGTGCTCATCAACAACGCTGGGATCGCCTTCAAAGGTGACCGAAGGCATTTGTTCAGAAATTAAAGGTGCTGTATGTAAGTTGTTGACTCTACTAAAGCATAAAAATACCATAATATGTTTACAGATATTTAAGAAACATGCTAAGTTAACATACTTGTTTATCTGAAAAACAATGCTAGTCTGTTATTCTCCTTTGAAAATGTGCGTTCCGGGCGGGAATGTCCGTCTCTGTTTTGGTTTGTGAAACTCGCCCACTGCCAGTTTACCCAATTGTATTTCGGCACCCCGGGTTGCCAGTTGGCGGAAAACACAGCGTATTTCATGTCATTCATCGTCAAGTGTGCTCGTTCCTGTTGGTGTCGTCAATCTGGCAACCTGCGTGTGCGTCAAATCTGAGGAGGAGGGACCGGGTGAAAAAAACCCTCTCCAATAGGTTGTTTGCACATGACGTCACTGATGACGCGCGAAATGCAGCTGGAGGGCAGGAAGTGATTTTTCTCTCCATAGAAATCACTAGCAGAAACTCCAAATGCCAGTGTTTTGCGTTGTTTATGGATGCTTAAATTGGCCAAACCGAGAAACCAAAAGGAGCTTTTATCGTGTACGAAAATGTGTTGTTCATAAGTGGGGAAAAGTCAAGAAATTTATTGAAAAACACAGGAAAAAGTGGCTTGTAAACCTGTGTCTGCGGTCGGGAGGAGCGAAGCTCGTGTGAAAATAATGCTCGTGCGTGTAAATGGTTATTATAGGATATAATATATTAAGATATTTATAAAGATATAAATAGATTGGGCTGCCACCTCTCA